GGCTGCAGATGAGGCCAACTCTCTGCCGGAGCATTACGATGCCTACTGGTATTTATGCTTCTGGCCTCTTTGCATATTAAAGTATCACTATCAAACTTACCTTGTTCTCTCCGTGTTACAGCCATCCTGTCCAAGTTCCTTTTGGGTACTGATCCTCCTGAGTCACACCAACATTCTGGTGAACGGCCTCTCCTCGTTTTCTTGCTATCCAGCCACTTGCCTGCCAAGCCTGTGTCTTCCATGGTCCACGCTCTGGAACCCCTGGGTACTGCCTTCCAAGCCCGGGTCAAAACTACCAAATGTAAGGAGCGAAATAACACATTAAAATCTTCCACCTTCGAACTATACCTACCTGACCTCTCTCCTTGCTCTCCAGGATTCCAGAGACCTTTTCCGCACTGAGTGTATTATTATCACTGTAATTATACACTGTTAACCTTTTATGTCTTGGAGTCTGTCTTGTTTAAGTCTCATACTATCTGGATCGCCTGTGAACATGACAGCATGGTGCACAATACAGCAATCCTTCCTTGGTGCAGTTGTCATAAGAGACTGAAGAGACTAGAACCATCATGTGTGGGTGCCCTTGTGTCCCAAAGGACTCTAACATTAGCAGAACCCATGCATGTGCACACATGGTAGGAAGTTGTACAATACAACCGCCTGGCTTCAAACTAGTAAACTTAAGTAAACTTAAACTAGTAATTAACCCCTGTCGTAATAGGTCAAGATAAAAACTGGAAAGCATAGTTTCCTCAAATAATAAGGGTGGTGGGTTTATTTATACAATATATAATTGTGGTGGTGGCCATATTGGATTTTGATGTGGCAACCTAAGTTTTGATATTGACCTTTGTTACACCTAGGTACAGCTACACAACAAACTTGAAGTTGGCATGTTACTTATTTTTCAAGTTATCCTGCTCACAAAATGGACAGACATATTTGGTGGCAGCTGTCTTGGAGTTTGACATGGCGACCCATCTTTCGAAAGGAATATTTTTTATGCCTAGATGTAGTCACACATCAAGATGAAAGTTGGTACCTCAATTATTTTTTAAGTCATTCTGCTTATACCTTGCACAGACTGACAGAGGGTATTTCCAGCTCAACTGTTTGTTTTGCGACAAGTGAAAAATGCCCACAAAATATAATTTTTGTTCAATCACAATGTAGCAATTCTTGAACCTGTTTTAGTCTATTGGTTCACAAAATGAGAACATCATATTACACTAAAGAATACTTGAAGCAATTAAGTTAGATTTATGGCAATGGAAATGAAGACCATTAAATCATCAAGAAAATACAATAAATCATGCAAAGGTTAGGTTCATTTTCTCATACTCTTCATAATCATTTATAATAAAGGATGAATTACTCACATTGGACACATGGATGATTTTAGAGTTTAAACTTAAATCCTTTGAACATAAATCTTTTTTGTCATACTGTAGTGTTGTGTTGTCTTCACTATGCTTGTGTCAGTTTCTTAGATCAGTAACGACAAATGAATCTAAACAGCAATAATACATGTATGAAGGTCTAAAGACAACCTCAGATATGTGGACTGAATATTTCCGCTCTCACATTCAGCTGGCTCACCACAGTTCGACTCAGACACATTTTCCCATGTGCCCTCTGTTGTGATGAAATCCACTCATAAGGGTTTAATTAGATGGGCGCTCGTCTCTTTAAACAGCGTGAGACTGCTTTTAAGACGCTTTACCACACATTTAATCAAACAACTGCCATTTCCTTCATGTTGAAGGAATGACAACAATGAGTCTTCACTGTAGGAGGAATCTAAAACATGAACATCGTAAATTTATTTTGACAGGAGGATAAAATGAAAGACAAAAGGAAAATTACCAAGGTGTGTTAAAAACTTAAGAACATTGTTGTTGCGCCACTTTTCTGTAAAAACGTTGTTGGCTTTGATTCCAGTGCAACAAGGCTGCATCACTCTTGTTTGTTTCAGTTTGAACAGACATCTTGGCGGCTTGGTATTTGTGTGCACTGTAAAAATTGTGGCCCTGCTTAAATTAAAAAAATTGATGTC